GAGTTATGATTGATGATCAGCTGACTTTCTCAGACCACACTGCTAAAACTGCCCGGTGCTGCAGATTTGCTTTATTCAACATCAATAAGATCAGGTCCTTTCTTTCAAAACATGCTTAACAACTCCTTGTTCAAGCTCTTGTTCTGTTCAGGCTGGACTATTGCAATGCTCTCTTGGCAGGTCTTCCAGCCAGTTCTGTCCAGGCTGGACTATTGCAATGCTCTCTTGGCAGGTCTTCAATCCAGTACTATCAAACCTTTACAATTAATCCAGAACGTGGCAGCAAGATTCATTTTTAATGAGCCAAAAAGAATGCACGTCACACGTTTGGTCGGACGTTTATCAATTTGCACTGGCTACCAATAGCTGCTCGCATAAAATTCAAGGCATTGATGTTTGCCTACAAAACCACCACTGGCTCTGCACCCCTTTACCTAAAATCATTACTTCAGACTTATGTGCCCTCTAGAAGCTTGCATTCTGCAAGTGAACGTCGCTTTATTGTGCCATCCCAAAGCATCTTTCACAGACTTTTAAATTAAATGTTCCCTCCTGGTAGAATGACCTGCCCAACTCAATCCGAGCAGCTGAGTCCTTAGCCATCTTCAAGAATCGGCTAAAAACACATCTCTTCCATGTTTATTTGACCCTCTAACTCTAGCAATCTCTATTCTAATTCTATTCTTTAAAAAAAAAAAAACTTGCCCCTTTTAGACGTGCACTCTATTCATTTACTAACGGCTTGTTTTCTTAAAAAAAAACTAAGACTAGCTTCTCTATTCTATATATTCCTTTTATTTTTATTTATTATACAATTAACAAAAGCAAAAAGGCCTCTAACACTAGCTTGCTTTATTCTTTTTCTATTCTATCTGTTTTCTTTTTATTTATTATATATATTAAAAAAAAAACTTGCAACATGTACTATGTTAAGCTAACTGAGACTTGTTATAGCATTGCGTATCATTGCTCTTTTGTTGATTTTGAATGCTTCCAATGTCCTTATTTGTAAGTCGCTTTGGATAAAAGCGTCTGCTAAATGACTAAATGTAATATGTCAATGTATGGGTTTTCACTGTAGATTATACGACTTGTTCTTTTTCACTTCCAGATATATTGTATATTCAACAGTATTTTACTGTAAAGTTACATGAAATGTATTCTGATGTTTAAAGGAAGGATAAACCTATACTTACTACAGTGTTTGGATCGTGCAGGTTTGACCAGCTGACAGGTTGAACACTTGACTCCCTGCTGGAACAGTTTTTCATCATACTGGTAGACCTTCAGTTCTGCAGTATGGTTTGCCTTTGTCAATGTGCCTTCAAAAGAAAACTCAATTTAAATGTAGAGATATTGGATTTATTTCTAATGGAAATGGGACAATTGCTCATTTGCAAACCTGGGTCTCTGCTACAACACAGGTAGAACAGATAAGACTTCACTGCAAGGAGAACGTAAGGAATGCACAAACTGATTGAACTTGTGCCCATGTCCAAACAGAAGCCAAAGACCTCATAGGAGAATTCTCCATACACAACCACTTCAAGTAACAGGTGCAAGTAAAGGAAGAAGTTGTTCCTGATTTGAAAAATGAACAGACATAGGATTAGAGGAAATATACTTGACAGTTTGATGTTCAGGGAACACATATAAAATGTATACCTTGAATACACTGCATAGTCTAAATAAATGTAAGTCACTTTGGATCAAAATTTCTGCCAAATGCATGCATGTAAACATTCCTTTAATGTGTCAAGTAGATATGTATCAGATATTTTTTAATTATTATTTTATAAGTTTAGGAAGGACAGTGCACATTAATAAACATTACTAGATAAGTTATACAGTCAGTTATGTAGTCTTCTAAATATGTTTAATATACACTACCGTTCAAAGTTTTGGGGTCAGTAAGGGGTTAATGGGAGTTAATTTTTAAAATAAATGAATACTTTTATTCAGCAACGATGCATTCAATTGATCAAACGTGAATTTTACACAGCTACAAAATTAAATAAAATTATATTCTAATGAACTTTCTATTCATCAAAGTACCTTTGATGGAACAGCCTGTGCATAGTTCTGTAGCAAATGCTTTGGAGACATTGTGGGATCCATGGAGAGAAAATCTAAAAGAAAACATGATATAAGTTCTATTTTAAACAACAAAAGAAATCATTAAGTTTGCAGGACTTTACTTACCCCTGTGAACTTGTCCAAAAGCAGACCGAGAGGAGTCTGCTGATGTCCTGAATACTTACAAACCAGAGCAATGCAGGTGAGCACCACCGCCACATATATACCAAACAGAGTGAGGAAGTCCATTTGCCACTACCTAAGCAGCACAGTACTGTGAGTAATTAATTAATTTCACTTATTAGATGTTTATATACGACGAGAAAGAGCGCTTAAATCAAAACCAAACGTAGTAAAATGTAAGATAACTATTTATTTAATAAACCATACTGTTTAAGAGTTTTTTTAAACAATGTTGGACATACATTTGAGCTAATGTACACAGAAAGAGGCAAGCGAAGGAATTTTTAAGTTTATTAACCTTTATTCACCTGAACACCATTCTCGCACTTTTTTTCCCCGTGCAGACAGTAGTGTGGTGAAGTAGACGTGAATACGGAACTCTGTTGCCAGATCTCCACACAAAACAAAAAACCTGTTCTGTCAAAACATACAGACTTTCCTTATCAAATAAGTATGAGGAGGTATGTAATTATATAATTTTATATAAAATTATTTAAATTATTTACACTACTGCATTCTGAAAATAAACGACCAGCAACTAGTTAGTTATATGTATAAGCGAATTTTTACAAGTTGAAAACTATCCCAAAGCGGATATGGCAACACTGATACGGATCATACTCACTACAACTGTGCTTTCAAAGTAAAAGTCGTCCCAGACTTCTTTTTAATTCTTTACTTGCTCGATATTTTGAAGTCATTCATCTTTAAATATAGTCTGCAAATTACTTATTCCTTGTTTCAAATAAACTCGTCTTTCTCAAGATTAGGATTTTTTGGGGAAATGTAGGTTATTATATTAATATATGGATCATAAATAATTGGACAATGTCGTTTATTAAAATGCAGCATGCAATATCGGTCTGCTAACATACCAACTTTATGATTACAATACAGCCTTTATATTTTCTTCTGAACTTCAGTTTTTCCACAAGTTTATTTGTTCATCAAAAACTTTGAATTATTTACCATTTTCGTCATTCGTTTCAGAAGCAGGTGGTTGATAATGTTAAGTGCACATGTTTTCAGTTCAGGGTTGCCATAGCCTTCTAACTGTTGCCTCTTACAGTTATCATGTTACAGACCTGCACATTCACTACAGTGGTGATGCCTCAAAGGAAAGGGATACCACTAAAGCCCTTCGAGAATACTCCACCGAGCAAAGGAAGCAAGTATTCTCTTTTAAAATATGCGTGCGTTTGTAAATCTATATATTAACAATATCTTCATGAATATAAGGAAAGTTTCTATGTGTTTTTAAAGTTGGTATTTTATTGCACTTTTGATTGTACATCATTAACGTAATTGTGAGCTAACACAAATCATTGAAGGAAGTAGTAGACTGTTATTATTTTTGGATGTTTAAATTTCAGTTACCAAATCTCATTTTTAATGTTTATGGATTGTACTGTAATAGCTAAGTTATTCTGTTTTGTAATATGTTAAATTATGTCTAATTTATTTCTGCATTTATAAAAGACAGAGGTCATTATTATTTTAAAATAATAAAAAGAGCATAGAGTCCTTACAGTCAGTGCAAAATTATATATAAAAAAGTACTGTTTTATTGCAATACAATAATATTATTTTTTTTACATGCACAACCACTTTTCTGTTGTATTGGTAAGTTGAGATGTTGATTGAGGAACAGTGTGTTTGGAGATACAAGCATTGGCTCTAAATAATTCAGCTAGCCCTGTATAGCTTGTCTTTGCTTCAGTCCTTCACATAATACCTCTATTACGTTTTACTGCTAGTTATATTGTTTCCCCATTCAGTTTGTAACCTTGAAAGTGAAACCGTGCTACACTTTGTCATGTGTTTATATTGTGGCTTGTTCATATTTATTATCTACCTGAGCCAGTACTCCAAAAAAAAAAAAAATGCTTTGGAAGCCCCCGCTTGCACCTGAGCTGCATGTCAGCCCACTCAGTAAATCAATCCTTCCTCCCAAATTCCCCCCGGATGCATGACAACATGTGTCCTGCCATGTGGCACGAGAGATCTCGAGATGCAGCATTTAATCTGTCTAATCCAGAGCAAGAGCTTTAATAGCACTGCTCCTGTTCAAAGGTGTGTGACTGCGCTCTTCAGTGCATTCAGACGTTCTAATTATCCACCATCGTCCTGACAGATCCCCAAGCTGATACTGGGCTACTTTTTGTCCCTTGGAGAGACAGCTCGACGAGAGAGTATGGGAAGGAGGTATTTATAGAGAAATGGGGCCTCACTTTACCCTTTTTGGAGAGAGAATCATTAAGGATCTGTGCTAGGTGTCCCAGTTTCTTGATTTGAGCTCTGCAGGCAGGACTAGCAAGACTCGCCAGAGATGCAGAGTCAACTCGTCGACAACATCACTCTGGCACTCGATGCAGTGTCACCTTTTTTTTAAGTGGCAGTGCTCTGCATGCCACACGACGATGGGGGGCATTCGAAAGGCGTTTCCCCTGAAGCGTGGTGCGGTGCAGTAAGAGGATCTCATGGAAGACGTGGACCAGGCGTTTTGCTCTCCGAATTTGTGATACCTGTTGAATTACAACAAAATGAAGAAATTCCTCCAGAATAAGAAAGGAAGATACTCCTTACGGCAGAACAAGCCGGGTCCTCGATATCCGCCCAAAGATTTTTGTAAGTGTTTAGTGTTCAAGAATTTTGTATTTGTAGGATGTTGATGATGACTTTCAGCAGCACATTTAAAGTCAGTTTAGGTGTGCATGGAGGCTAATGCTTTGATGAATGACCTTCTGTCAATCTACAGGCTTAGGCTTTGCATGGACCGGCCCACAAACACAATATTTTACCAGCCATTTAATTGGGAATGTTGATGTGTGAATGTTCTGGTTTTACTAGAAAGGACTTGCTATGCTACAAACATGAGTCTCATGTTGCTGATGCTGTGTTCAGGCACATCTGTGCTCTGATATCGGATGATTTGGGAGCCTCTGTTCCTTTTTCAATGAGGTCAATGTTACTGGGAGGTCTAATGTGTCAGCTGAGACTCTGTATTTAGTGAAGGTTGTATGGCTCTCTTTATGTGTCTGCATTACTTTGTCTTGTCAGGATAGGCAAAAACTGACTTCACTTGACATATTTTAGCATCTAGGTGTATATATTTTAGGTGCTTGATATATTTTAGTGTCTGTCCAAGCATGTGATGTCCAGCAAATTCCATTTTTCTCAGGAGGCTTGATCATTTTGCTGTGTGTATGTAGGTCTTGTTTACAACAGGCTGATCAGACATTTGAGCCTAGTTGCTCATTAGAGACCCACATATCCTCTTATTTGCCATCTTTCTTACAGTCCTCACCATGCCAGCATCCAACCAGGGCTGGCCAGAGGAGTTTGGCTTTCAGATAGGGGGGAATGGGCCCAGCTACATCCTGACTGTGGAGGATGGAAGCAGTGCTCATCTGTCTGGACTGCAACCTGGAGACCAGGTCTTGGAGATTGAGGGCCAGAACGTTTCCAGTCTTAGTGCTCAAGAGGTCATTGCCCTTGCCCAATCACACCGAAACATCCCGCCCAGTATTGGAGTAGTTTCACGCATCCAGCAGGTGGGTCAATGACATGACACTTTTTTTTTTGTTTTGTCTTAATGTATTCATTGTAACATCAGGGTTATTATCGTTAACTAAAAATATTTTGATTAATTAAATAAAACTGGATGAAAATTAAATGAAATACAAATATATAACAAAACGAAAATGAGAAATTGTTTTGGAAAGTCGCACACACACACACACACACACACACA